ATTTTATTTTGTTACAGTGTTGCGTCCTCGAGGTCACGTGACTGGTGTGGCGCCACCTATTTTCTAGAACTATTCTGTACCTTGGCGAATGCTCTAGTATTTACTAGATATAGGGTAGTGTGGTATATAAAAGAGGATGGCAACGTGACGGGACAATAGTGTGTGTATAGGTAATGAGTAATTGAACTGCAGTCAGAGAGAGACGTATTGTTGAAGTTAACGTTCGTTGTTAAAACGTTTGTAAAAGAGCGACTGTTGAAAATAAGTGTATCGTGAAGTTATATTCAGAAAGAATAAACCAGTTTTATTAAGTAAGGACTTGTGTCACTAAAGTTTCGTCGGAACGAAGTTACGGAAAGTTAATTAACAAACGGAGACGTAACAACAGCAAATGTCTTCATAACTTGAACAAAAAATCGTTGATTTTTTTTTCATTCTCTACATTATGCCCCCAAGTGGCACAGCGGAATTACAATGCTCGAAACCTGGTTTCGATACCCTTGGTGGGCAGAGCTCAGATAGCCCATTGTGTGGCCTTGTGCTTCATTACAAACAAACTATCACTACGTTATAAATGAGCTAATATTTTTCAGCATGTAAGCCACAACCTTTAAATACTTGATTACTAGGGAATAATCATTAAGAACGATACTGTTTATTTACTTTAGCGCTACGTCACAGATTGATTTACCTGTGCTTTGTCTACCGCGAGGAATCTAACCCCGAATTTTAGTTTTCTAAGTCCGTAAAATTACCGCTGACCCACTGGACAGCAGTGATACTGCTTGCCCCTTAAACTTGTTCACGGAGGGGAATCAAACAACGGATTTTAACGTTGCAAGTCTGAAGGCTTCCAGCTATTCCACGTTTGTTCTTTAACCACTGTGGTGAAAGTAAAACTTGAACAGAACATTTTTATTGAATTAGTCGCTGTGTTAACTGACACCCATAGCTTTGAAGCAACTGTTTTTGTTTTTTAGTTTGATCATAGGTATTTTGATTTGTTTGTAATTAAGCACAAAGCTACACAATGGGCTATCTGTGCTCTGCCCACCACGGGTATCGAAACCCGGATTCTAGCTTTATACGTCCGCAGACATACCACTGTGCTACTGAGGGCAGTCATTTTGAAATAATTATAACTACTGTTACGACATCGAGGTCACATGAGTAGTATCACGCCACGTCATTCTCGAACTTTCACGTCTTTTCCTTAAATCTCGTGATCTTTCTAGATATAGTGTAGTCTTGTATATATATATATATAAGACCGGCCACGAAGCGACGGGGAGGTAATGAGTAATTGAACTGCAGTCAGAGAGTGTGTAATTGAGTATTGTTGAAGTCGAGCATGTGAGACGTTTGTTATAGCGCGACTGTTGAAATTAAGTGTATCGTAAAGTTATATTCAGAAAGAATAAACCAGTTTTATTAAGAAAGGACTTGTGTCGCTAAAGTTTCGTCAGAACGAAGTTACGGAAAATTAACTAACGACCAGAGACATAACAAATTGGTGTCAGAAGTGGGATAAAAAAAGAAGATGGAAACGATAGGTGGCAAATCAAACTACAGCTTAGCAGATTTGATGGCAGCAATACAAGAACAGCAAAAGAAACAAGAAGAACGAAAAGATAAACAAGAAAAGAGATTACAGCAGTTGTTGAAGGAAAAAGAAAAGAAACAAGAGGAGAGATTACAGCAGTTGTTGGAGGAAAAAGAAAAGAAACAAGAAGAACGAGAAAAGAAACAAAAAGAGAGATTACAGCAGTTGTTGGAGGAAAAAGAAAAGAAAGAGGAAGAAAGTATCCAACAGTTGCAAGAAAGTCAACAACAGTGGCAAGAAGTACAAATGGAACTCAAAATTAGCCCGAAGTCTACAGGGCTAGGTTTAGGACGAGAGTCTATGCTAAAGGCAAGAGCCTGCAAGAGCTGGCACAAGACACGAGGCCTACCCAACTGCACCACCCAATCTCCTCAAGTTATTGCCGAGGGATCAGTTTGTAGATGCCTTGGACAGTCCACAACTTAAGATACAAGTGAAGCAAGCACACCCCTCTACCATGCAGGATGCAATGGCCAGAGCTCTCGAATTTGAATCATACATTAAGTCCAGCACAGAGGTACCAAGGTTGGTACAGTCATCTGGATCCAAGGACATCTGAGGAGCGAGTGTAAGAAAAATACCACCAATAAGTCAGCTTCGGGAAACCAGTAGTGGTAGATACGCCTACCAACCTCCATCGTGAAAGTCCCAACAGCTAAGTGTAAAATGGCAAGCACACATAGTATCTACGTGACAGGGAAGCTGGATGGCCAAAGGTGCAACTTTGTCATAGATTCTGCATCTCAGCAAACCCTTGTGAGTATCAAGATGGTGGATCACAAAGGAGTACCAGAAGCCATACAAAAGCTTTGTGGTGTGATAGGACATTCTGCAAGGTTGTGGGGACCCGTGTGGGTAACTATTAAGCTCATTGGCATGAAGGACAGACACAAAGTATACTTGGCTGACATTGAAGATGCATGCATATTAGGATTGGACTACTTACTACTGAGGAAGTTTGTAATTAATTTTGATAAAATGACGTTTGGGAACAACAAAAGCCAAATTCTGGTAACTGTTAAAAGAGAAGTTGAACTAACCAGGTGCCATCAAGCTGAAGTCAAAGTGACTAAAGAAGTTGATGATGGTGAAATGGAATTAGATATAGATATTAAATCAGAGCAGGAAAAAGACCAATATTTGAAGCCAATAATTGATTTTCTAAAAGCAAGTGTTTTGTGCCTTGCTGGGAGAAGGTGTCTAGTCTAAGCCCTGTGACAAAGAACTATTGGGCACAATGGGACCAGTTGCGGCTTGAAGATGGTATTCTTCTCCGGAGATGATAAACTG